GCGACTCCAGTGAGGTAAAATTTTTATTTTTCAATTATGTTTTAGGCATTTCAGTTTATATCATTTAAATAAATAGTAATTCTGAAATTATCTTCCAAATTCCAACCTTTTATATTGCCAGTTTACCTTAAATCATATAAAACTTCTTGCTCATTAGTTTACCCTTCAACAAATTTTTTTTAAGATCTGTCACAGAATTAGAGTACAGTGATTAATAGTGAGTTACTTGTGTCGATGAGATAATTACTTTCAGATATTACTTGATTTTGATTAGGTTTTAGTTTTCCGTTTCTGGTTAATACTAGATTTTATGAAATTAAGTTTGAACTTTGCAATCATTGTATATGCAAAATTTCTTATTGTTGTTATATAATCATATTAGTTTCATTAATGTAGTAAGCTTGATTAGGAATTAGAATATTTTTGTGAAGTTAAGAACTCAAGAGTTGGAAGTATTTAGCTTATTGTAGACTTATTTTTATTGCTTTAAACTTGACGATGTTGACGTATTTGATCATTTGATGATGCTTTTTGGAATGGTTGTTAGTTATCAATGACTAACTTTTATTAAGAAATTGTGATACTATAATTTTTATATTTGATAATTATGAAGTTTTGTTTGAAAATTTTGATGATTCTAAGTATTAAAGTTATTATGAATTGTTATTATTTATAAAATATCTAAATAATTAATGAACAATATAATCTAGCTACATTATGCTTTTTTTTTCTTTTGCGATTTTGTCATTCACCCTTAACAGGAGGTCAAGTGTTAGATAACTCATTTTTGTTATTTTCAACATTAGGTCTCCAACATAACCCCTCAAGTTGAGTGTCCTAATTTATGGGTTGAAATCTGGACTCACATAGTGATATCTATTCTTTTTTTTTTTTTGGCCAAATGCACTTTACAGATTTGTGGCTAGCAAAAAGTTGAAAAAGATTTGAAACTCTGACAATTCAAACAACTCTACCACTGCACCTAAGAGCATCTCCAACAACCTCCCTATCTCATGTCCTAGACTAAATATAGGGAGTAGGAGGGGGAAAAGTTGCTCCAACAGACTCCATGTTGGAGACTAAATATAGGGAATAGGATTTGGTATTCCAAATTAAGGATAACAAAGTGACTCCCTATTCTTAGAAGAGATTATGTAGGTTTGGCTAGTAAACTATCATTGAGCCGTGAAATTTCTGCTGATTTGTGTGTTTGTGATGATATTGTTGCTTTGAGAACTCATGTATCTATCAGGATGGGATTTGTGACATGGAATTTCAATTTGATATTTTATGACGTGACTCTGGTCGCTTTAGTTCAGGCAGAGGGTTATGAGAACAATGAGACAGGACCAAAAAAAAAAGGTATCGGCATGAGATTATTCTTTTTCGCTCTTAAGTGATGCCTTTTTCATTTATTACTATTTTCTATGTGTTGACATCGTTGCCATTGAGAGTGAAATTAGCAAACAATGTGATAGACTTCCAAGAGGAGAGTATGCTTCAAAAGCACTTGGCCACAGCTTCACTGCATTTGCTCGAGATATAGTTGAGGTTGGTCAATGAAATATACATTTTCTGCTCAATACTGTAAGATGCTTATTGTTTGGGATAAGTTGAACTTTATCTATGGACAAATTTTAAAAAAATCCCCTTTTTTAAATTTAATAAGCAAAAACAACCGTTTAGAAAAATAATTAGCAAAACCGACCATTTTCCCCTGAAAAGGGTCGGTTTTGCCGAAGGGGAAGTTTTGCGAAGTGTACGGTCGGCGAGGGTGTCGCGGCTGTGCTGGATGCATGGAAGGCGGGTTGGCTGGCTGCGGGTGAACGGCGGCGACGATGAGAAAGGGGGACGCGGGTGGCTTGGGGCAGAGGCGCTGGAGCCTCAGGCGGCTTGGCTGTTTGAGGAGAGGGTGGAGTCTAACGTCGGGGAGACGGCGGGGGAGGGCACGGTCGTCGGAGCTTGGCGAGATGGTGCGGAGTTCGAGGAGGAGGGAGATGGGTGGCGCTGAGGTGGACTGGCGTTTGAGGGGGTGGCAGCGGGGGTACAGGGAGGAGATGGAGGCGCGCAGAGAAGAGCTTGGGAAGAGAGAGGAGTTTGGGCGTGGGCGTGGGCGCGGAAGCCGATCGGCAGTGCGGGGTTGGTCGGCAGCTCGAGGAGTTTGGGCGTGGGCGCGGAAGCCGATCGGCAGTGCGGGGTTGGTCGGCAGCTCAGGGAGAGCTGGCGGCGTCGATGGCAGGGAAGAGAGAGGCTTGGGAAGAAGAAGGGGAGATGGTCACGAGCAAAATGGGGGATTTGGTCGCGAGTCGGGAATTAAAATGAAGTG